GAACGCAGATCCACTGAGCGCTCAACACAGACAGCATCGTCAGAAGAAAAGTTGATAAAATAAATTAAAAAATGTTGTATTGTTCGATACATATGTGTACCGAACCGAAAGCACTGTATCGAACGGTTCAATAATGATACGAGTATCGTTGCTCTCCTAATAGGTAGATATGAATTTGCTTTTGTCATACCTTGGACCAGTCTCCGGTTTTCCATTCGTAACATTTGGAGAAGTCCTCACAATATTCTTCTTGAGTTGGCTGGGACAATGGATCACACAGACCCTGAGGGTTTGTACACAACACTGTACGTCTGCGGACACCTTGACCACAATTTGATGAACACTGGAGAAAAGAATAAGAAAGAAATGTCTTGATGCAGTCTCAATCATCCAGGTAAGTAAATCTCCAAAAGTTGATTCTGTTAGATTAAAATCCAAGGGTTTTTTGATCCTATGCTACTTAAAGGAGCTGACATGAACATTTGCATTCTTGACACTGCAGCAAAATTACATCTGAAGGAATCTGGCAGATGCTTACAGAAGCATCTGCCAATATTCTGGGAGAGGAATTTGATTCAGTTTTCAAATCAGTACACCTCTTACAGGATGCACTTAATCTTACAGATTAAATACATCCGGTATACTCTTAAGGGCTCTTCTTACAGTTTCATGTTTTCTTAAAATTAAAGTACAGAAAGTGTGCATGTGCCATACCTTGGACCATTCTGAAGCCTCCCACGCTGTGAGGCAAAGGCGGCCCTCGCAGCCCTGTAAAACAGGAGGTTTTCCTCCTTGGCAGTACAGGTCCCTGGTGTGGATGACTGAACCATTCTGTAGGTGGTAAAGACACAACACCTCCCTCTGCTGATGACCTTTACCGCAAGTGACAGAACAAGGCCCCCACTCACCTGTCATCCACCTGTGAAAAATATCAGTTGTTTACATTTTGAGTTCATTCATACCAATGGAATTGAATTGAATTGTAGAATTGTAGAACAAACAAGGATTAATTAAATTTAGAACAAACAAGGATGTAACTTCTGTGATGTTATCCACTGGTTAGAGCAGTGTTTCCCAACCTTTTGGAGCCACAGCACATATTTCACATTATGAAAGTCACAGGGCACAGCATCAAACAAAGATGTCACAGAAAGCATATTGATCATTTTTCCCTGTGCACCAGGCGTAGTGGATTTGGTTCGGTTTGTCCCCAGTAGACCTTTGTTGCTTTCTTCTGACCACTGCTCATACTAGGGTCTTCATCTGAGTCAGTTTTCTCCAGGACTCAGGTCAGACTGAACACTTTTTCTTTTCAAATACAGTGGAACCCCGACTTACGAAATTAATTTGTTGCAGAGGGTCTTTCGCAAGTCAAAATGTTCGTAAGTCGAAGCAAATTTTTCCATCGCCTTTTGAGTGAGGCGATGCTGGCTGAAGATGAAGTTCTTGGTGGAGGTGGCGGAGGTTGAAGAAAGCATACGTATGAATGGATACATACGTACGTGTACATGTACATAACATTATTGACTTTAATTTTATTTTTTTTTTTAATTTTCTATTTTATCTATTTCATTTTGCCGTACCTCGGGCAGAAACATTGCCGTTAAGTGCCTTCGTAACTTGAATTTTTCGTTAAATGGGGTCTTTGTAAGCCGGGGTTCCGCTGTATTTATCTATTGCTATTACGCACTGCGTCGTCTTACGGCGTGACTCATTTAATTAGAACAGGTAGTTGTGCTGTCCTCTAGTGGAAGAGAATGCTCATTACGCTGATCGCTTACAGTACTAATCAGGTGGAACCAGATGATCTTCCATGGCACACCTGATCATGTTTCACGGCACACCTGTGGGCTCTAACACTGGGTTATAGAATATCCATTGTGAAACCTTGAACTGATCATTTCTGTCATCACTCGGGTGAAGTTATTTTCCTAAATTACAAAACTACCTGCAGCATCTAGTGCTCTGAAAATGCAATTACAATGACACCTCGGTGGAGAAAAAAAGTAGATTGTGTTATCTCACCAGGATTGGGGCTATTGGGCCCCACCGTGAATAAGGGTCAGACTCAGGGTAGGGACTCCATTGTCCCCAGTTGGGTCACTTTCCTACTGTGGGATTTCCATGCATATGTGGGAAATAGCCCCATGGTTAGTGAGAGCACACTGTGAAAGTCTGGAAGAGACCCTGGTCTGTGAGAATTCCCACTTCTAGCAAAGCTTCAACAGCATGCGAGTCGGAAGACTGGGGACATTGAGTCTGAGTGGACAATGTCCATACCTGCACTGTCAAAGCTCTGCCCCCAAGCTCTATAGAGCTATAACGGTTAGTGATGGTGATGGAATCGAGAACCGGATTGCCAGCCTATATCTATCCTGCTTATCGGTTCTTGCACTCTCGCTACGATAAGCTGATTTCAGTTCGCATGTCGGAGGAGTACAATAACTGGACATTACTTTTTTTTTTTATTGCACAAACAACAAACACAAAAACAAGCGCGGTAAAGTGGAGACTGCTTCAGGACAGAAACTACTGCATTATACTGTTGACAAAATTTCGGCTCTTCGTGAGCACCTGCACAGACAGCATGCTAATGCTAACCTAGCCAAGAACCCAGAGTGCTGTTAAAGCTGAGTAAATGCTGACCCCAGCCCACTACTGTGATAAAGTGAGCCATCCTTTGCGGTGATTGTTTGGCTCTCAGCGAAGGCACTTCTTCTCCTCTCCTCTCCCTTATCTTCCCTGCTTAGCTTCTTATGTCCTTGTCTTGTCTTGTGTTTTTT